GATGCTGGAAAATGAAGATAAGTATTCCCTGATCTTCAAATTTATTGGTTCTTTTGTTGCTGCTTCTCATTTGCTCATCTGTTTAAAGTTGATGATAGGCACGCCATCTTAGCCTTGGCTCAGCAGTTTTCTGTTTCCCCCTCTGCTGTGGGCCCTGTGTTTAAAAGAGCTGCCTGTCAGAGCATGGTGATTGATAATAAGAGCTGAGGGTTAAACAGTAGTCACTCTGTCCCCCACTGCTCTTAGGTCTTTCCACACACTAGCGTGTTTAATCCTGCGAGGTGAGTCTTGGTGTTATCGCCATTTTAAAGGTGAGGAAACTGACACCAAGTTATACAAAAATAAAAGCTAACTTCATTTATGCTTACTGTTTGTTAGGTACTATGCTGAGGGCTTTATCTATATTATCCACAAAACCGTCAACAACTTGGTAAGATATGGAGTATTATTGTCATTTTCACTACTGGTACCAGAAATGAGGGTATGCATTGGAGACCATCTTCCTTGAGAATTAGTGCTATAGTCAGCATATAATGCAAAATTATTGTCAAATTTCCCTTGAAAATCCCTTACATTGTCTACAGTGGCAGTTTGCAGACACAGAGATCCTCTATAAATCCAACTGGGCTGTTCTTGGCCCACTAGAGTTGGAATAGAATTCAAGCATCAGCGACTACAGGCCCATGAGCCAACTCCTGTTTTTGTAAATAAAGTTTTATTAGAACATATCCATACCCATCCATTTATCAGTTTTCTGTGGCTACTTTGGAGCTACAAATGCAGAAGTGAGTAGTTGCAGCATAGACCAACTGACCCACAGAACCTAAAATATTTACTATATGGCCCTTTAAGAAAAAGTTTGCTGACCCCGGGAATAAATCAGCGTTTCTTTAGGTGAATTAACAGTGAAGAATTGGCTTGCTTTTGGGAAGTTTTACAAAAATACCTGAGGACCATGTGATACATTCTTGGCCTAAGAGGCCATGTAGGGCCTGAGAGCATCCAAGGATGTGGCATGTGCCCTGAATCACAGTTCTTCTCAGGTGACTCCACTGAGTTTTAAAAGTTCACTTTGTGGTGTGCTTTGTTTTTTAAAAAGCAATGTTTTATGTTAATAATGAGGAATTCCTAGTACATCGTCCTATCTTGATGCTTTAATTTTTTTATGTCCTTGAAAAACAGATCAGCTTTCATCTCACATTAAGTTTTTAAAATTACTTACTGCTTAGATAATTTCTGATAGGGTTTCTTTTTTAATATCATAAACAGTAACCAGACTCAGCTATATTTGAATTATTTATTTAAAATACACTAAGTATAAATTAAGATTTCACGGATATCTGTCATTTCTGAAAATTCACACAACGTATCATTTCATCAGATGTTAGTATTGTTTTTCACTACAAAAGATTGTATACTTAAAATGTTTGCCTTTTTCAAATCGATATTTATAAAACCATCATAGTTTTCAATATTTTAGTTTTACAGTGGTTAAATTATTTTATATACTTTATTTTTAATCTTAATGATTAGTTTCCTAAAACTAAATTTTGGTCATAAACAACAATCTTTCCTTTGTCATAAACATTTCATAAATGAGAGTATTAAAATCTTTCCAGGCTTTAATATGTACTACACTTGAGGGACTTCCCTGGTGGTCCAGTGGCTAAGACTCCGTGCTCCCAATGCAGGGGACCCGGGTTCGATCTCTGGTCCGGGAACTGGATCCCACGTGCATGCCGCAACTAAGAGTCCACATGCCACAACTAAGATCCTGCATGCTGCAACTAAGACCCAGTGCAGCCAAGATAAATGAATAAATATTAAAAAAATATGTAGTACACTTTAAACAATATCCAAAATAGACTGTTGTTTCTATCTTTAAGGAGGAAAAATATCAGTGTTGTTCACCTCCCAGATATTTAAACATAAAAATTATACTTTAAGAATTTAGGGGCTTCCCTGCTGGCACAGTGGTTGAGAATCCACCTGCCAATGCAGGGGACACGGGTTTGAGCCCTGGTCCGGGAAGATCCCACATGCTGCGGAGCAACTAGGCCTGTGAGCCACAACTACTGAGCCTGCGCATCTGGAGCCTGTGCTCCGCAACAAGAGAGGCCGCGATAGTGAGAGGCCTGCACACCGTGATGAAGAGTGGCCCTCACTTGCCACAACTAGAGGAAGCCCTTGTACCGAAATGAAGACCCAACACAGCCAAAAATATATAAATAAATAAATTTAAAAAAATAAAGAATTTAGATTTCCAAAATTTTCTTAGTTAAGAAATAACTATATGCATATTATATGTAATATTTATATCTAGAAATAAATATAATTACTGTTTTTAAAATAGTATACAGTTTTTAAAAACAGTAAACATATTTCCTATCATCTAGAGTGGAAATGACATCAGTCTAAGTAAATTCTATTTTCTCTTCCCTTTTGTGGTGGTAAATAGTTGTCTCTGCAGTGAAAGTTGCTCAATACACCACATTCACACACCTCATCCAAAGGGCCTCTCTTTTTGATTGTTTCGTTTTTTCCTGTTAGAAAACTAGAATAATGTAATATTGAACATGGATTTACAGTCATGTGCGAACTTAACATTTAGCTTATTTACATGTGAAATAGTTGGAATAAATAACATTCTTGCATTTTATGAAAATCTTGGGGTGTTTTGGTAATTTTTTGGTACTGGCTGCCAAAATGTTCACATATCTAAATAAATAATCAGCCTCTGACAGCTCTGGGGCCTTTCACTTGAAAGGGTCTCCAAGGCTACCTTGAAAATAAAAGGCACTCTCCACATTTGACCTTCTTCTCTAGATTTGAAAGCATTTGTTATCATTAGCAGAAATAAATGACTGATTCACAAATGAACTTGTGATGCACCAGTAACATTCTGAAAAAAGTGGAAGTCAGACATTCTGGTTTCGAATCATCACAACTCTCCCTTCCTTGTACTGTAGAATCCCAGAGAACTTCTTAAACTTTCTGTGCCTGGTTTTAGTTGTAAAATGGCACCTACCTCATAGTTTACGAGGACAAAAGGAGATAAAGTACCTTTCACATACTCAGTTTATAAAAATCCATCTTTAAAAATGGCTTTCAATTATTCAGCTTACTTAATAAATTGAACGTTTAGATTTTCTGTCTTACTTGCCCTCCCTGGCCCCCTTGGAGTGCTTTCTTTTAATACCCACTGTATAGTTGTCTGTCAACTCTTTCTATTACCTATGGCCTCAACTGTCAATTTAAAGAGCTTTTATTAATTTCTAATAAGGAGCTTTTGACTGAAAATATATTGTTTTACTGCTTCAGGTAACTTCTCTTTGAACAGGATGTCTTAACCTGGGGATCCACAGAGAGATTGTATTTCAGTGTAATTCATTTCCTTTGTAATTCTATGTATTTTATTTTATGCATTTTTTTAAGGTTTTTTTTTAAGTGCATTCTTTTTAAAAAAATTAATTTATATTTTGGCTGCGTTGGGTCTTCGTTGCTATACGTGAGCTTTCTCTAGTTGTGGCGAGCGGGGGCTACTCTTCGTTGTGGTGTGTGGGCTTCTCATTGCGGTGGCTTCTCTTGTTGCGGAGCATGGGCTCTAGGCGTGCTGGCTTCAGTATTTGTGGCACGTGGGCTCAGTAGTTGTGGCTCAGGGGCTCTAGAGCACAGGCTCAGTAGTTGTGGCACACGGGCATAGTTGCTCCGTGGCATGTGGGATCTTCCCGGAGCAGGGCTTGAACCCGTGTCCCCCTGCATTGGCAGGCGGATTCTTAACCACTGCGCCACCAGGGAAATCCCTTTTTTTAAGGCTTTTATTTGTTTTTATTAAGTCAGTGCCCAATTTATACTATTTTATGCATTTAAAAGCACTATCTCCACAGGCTTTACTGGACTATCAAAGAGGTTCATGGTACTAAAAAATTAAAAAGTTACAAATCCCTGATGGAAGAAGTTCCATTTTAGTAGAATATGGTAAAGACATGGTTGTTGGACTGCTAAGAGAAGTCATCTCTGTAAGATAACTCAGGGCTATTGGATCCCACTAGAAATGACTCATCTATCAACAGGTAGGGCTGGTCCCCCCAACTTCAGAAAATTGAATAGTTCTTACCTTGGTTTTAGCTTCTTGACTTCTCCGTATCTAGAACCTTTGCAGGAAAAAAAATAGCCACCGTTTTTCTAATATACAGAGAATCTTCTCTGATACAATCAGAGGCAGCCATGTATGGTGGAAGGGACATAAGTATTGAAATCACAATTGTTTAGTCTTTCCAAGTTGCTGATTCTTCATCTATGATGTGGAAATTATAATATGCACATTACTGTGTTGAGGAAGGATTAAAGGAAAAAACTATGGACAGGGACTTCCCTGGGCACAGTGGTTAAGAATCCACCTGCCAATGCAGGGGACACGGGTTTGAGCCCTGGTCCGGGAAGATCCCACATGCTGTGGAGCAGTTAAGCCCGTGTGCCACAGCTACTGAAGCCCACGCACCTAGAGCCCGTTCTCCACAATGAAGAGAAACCCCCACTTGCTGCAACTAGAGAAAGCCCGCATGCAGCAACGAAGACCCAACACAGCCAAAAAAAAAAAAAAAACAGAAAAAAACTATGGACAGCACACAGTGTCTGGTGCGCTGTGGTTGCTGCATGGGCGTTAGTTTCTTTACTTACACTGAGAATCCAAAATGAACATGAAGTGAATTTAGAGCTGAGTCAGGGTAGAGGGCTGTGGAGCGTGATGGAATTGAGAAATGTGGTTACTTTTCTTTTTAGAATCGGGTTGAGTGGGGAAAATTTCCTGAAAGAGATAGACTCTTTGGCAGAAAGAAAAGTAGGTTGCAGAATTTAGTTGCAGAAATAGTGTGTGAGTAAAATACAGCCCGGAGAGTAGGAAAATTGAATTTAAAGTCCAGGCTTTGTGGAGACGAATGAATAAAGGGGAGTGTACATGTCACTGAACTCATGCTTTTCCTTAAGTTATCTGTTTTCAGAGCAGTGGAATTTTTCATCAGAGATAAATATGAAAAGAAGAAATACTACGATAAAAATGCTATAGCTATTACAAATGTAAGTAAAATCTTCATCTCTATTGCCAATTGATGCTTGTTGAGTAGATGTGGAACTTTTAACATACGATACAGCTCTGTTTATTTATTGTGAAAATGTGCTAGTTACATACTTAAAAAATTTGAATATTGGAAGTTTTTGTCATATAATGTTAATGAGCTTTCACAAAGCAGGACCCTTGATTCAGAAAGGAGCATATTCTATGTAAGAGTCTGATAACTGCTTAAATGGCATTTAATTAATTTTTTTGAAATTTGCAAAAAGATAAAGTCACTAATTGAAAAATGGAGGAGAGATAATTGTTTTTACTAGATTCGGGAAATGAACAAAAAAGGAAAATCTGTCTTCTTTTAAGGGCTTTGGTGGATCTGTCCAGATATAAGTTTATTAAAACATGGCATTTTCATTGGTTATTATCAAGTATTATCAAGTAATAGTTGAGACCTTACTGTAGTGATCCAAATATGTTATATCACTGATCCTTTTTAAGTTTTTCTTTCTGATTAAATTTTCCTATCCCAGTTAAATGCTGTTTAAGGCTAGTTATCTTTAGGGCTGTAGTCATTTGTTAAGTCTTTGATTCCTAGATTAATAATAAAGCTATAAGCCAGTTAATTGTGTGGCTAATTCATCTGTCACGCAATTTAGAGACAATAATTTCCTCTCATTTTGCATATAAGCTGGTTTTCCTTTTCAGTCCGTATGGAGAAGCAGTATACTAAAAAATTCAACCAAATACTAACAAAGTAAGGATATTGTAATACATTGTCTCTGACCATTAAAAAAAACGTTCTAAAACAATGTTTAAAGTATGATTAATGTATATTTTGGAGCAAAGGTACCCTTGATAGAGTTTAGGCTGCATTTACAGTGGGTGTAGGAGAGGAAATCTCTTGAAAAATCAGTAAAAATTGACAATATTGAGAGTGATGCTTATCACATCCATGAAATTAAGTTTACTTACAGCATTGTGGGGGGAAAAAGGACAAACTTTAAAGCATAAGTAATATATTTTTATATGAAATTCTAAGAAATCATTTTAAAATACAGGGTGTGTAAACCAGGGGTGGGAATTTTGGTGGCCACCTTAGAATTCTCCCGCCACGGGGACGCAGAATGAGTCTGCCCTCCTTGGTATTCCTTAATGAATGAGTGATAGGGGACATTTGAAAAACTGAGTACAGAAATTGTCCTGTCTGTCCGCCCCTCACTCCCCGTAAGTAGTGGTGCAGCATAGCTGGCAACACTGATCAGGTGAGTTCTTAGGAGATCTAGCAGGTATCGAGCAGATGAGGTTGAGCTCTGCCATGTTGTTTGCCCTTTTCCAGCAGCAACTTTTCTCTGTTCCCCTCTCCCCCCTCGCTCTTCCTCTTCTCCCCTCTCCCCCGCCTCTTCTTTCCGTCCCCACCACCCCCTCGCTTCCCCCACCACATACTTCCATCCTCACGTGATTCATTTGCTATTATAATCATCAAAAAGAAAATCTGTTGCACCAGGAAAATGTATAGGTAACTCTAACTATTTAATCCTTACCCCTGACTGGCTCAGTTTTGTCTTGGAAAAACAGCTAATAGTTGCTGGGAGTTGGTAGCTTTAAAATGAGCACTCACTTGTTCTTGTTTCAGTTTATCTTACATATTTCTTGCCTCCTTTGCCACTTCTCATCCCTCACAAGTAACCTCTTGAATGCAGTTTGAGTACATGCTTGAGTTTGCATCACACAAAGGTTTTAATTCTCCAGTCTGAATTTCACATGAAATTACTATTCCAATCAGTTGCCATATAATTGAGTATTATATAAAAGTTTAAAAACAGGAAAACTTTCACTTATTTTGTTTTATATGTGTGTATCTATATACGTATAAAGACTAGTATTTAGCACAACAAAAGTAAAATTAAATCCGTTATTTCAACTTAGAAATTGTGGAAACAATGTTTCTGTACTGTATTATAATAAAAGAGCTAGCACTAGTAATTTCATTAAGCTCTGTTTACAGTTAACTGGTGATTATATAATTCATTAATATAAATGAGCAATAATTTTAAGACAGTGTGAATTGCAATAAATTTTAAGATGTCCTTCCTGATAGGGATGAGAAACTTAGATGATGAATGATCAGGTGGTGATTTAAGATTACCCTGAAATAGCAGTTTCAAGTTGGGCTTTTGTTGTTGTTGTTACTTCTTCTTGTTACAGTTTTAGTTTCCTCTTCTGTGGAATAGGGATGATCACGGCATCCACTTTTGACAGTATTCTTATGGGAGTTAAATAAGGTAGGGCCCGCTGCATTTCTGTTGTGTGCCTGGCACGGGAGCGCTTAACACATAGGAGCTCCTGGGAGGAGCGCCTGGCGGGGAGGGAGGGGGGCAGGAGCAAAGGGGCCCAAGCGCAGGGGCGGGTGGGGCTAGAAACCGCCGGGCTCACACGCTGCCCAGAGGCTGTATCTCATTGGCACCACTGACTTGAGTTCTGTCGGATTAATACTGCCACATTTCAGTCAGCCCTTTTTAAATTATGGGCTGCCAGGCGACTGATGTGGCATTTATAGGACTTCTATTTGAAATTTCTCCAGAATTCTGCATTTCTTAGTGACTTATCCAATGATTTTAAAGTTAGCATATTAAAATTCAGGCTTCTTCTACATATCTGGTGGCTATGGTTACTGAGTTAAGCTTGTCAAAAAGTCTTTTAACTCTCCTACTGATGCGTTTAATCGATGGTTTCTTTTGTATGACTTTAGTTCAGTAAATGTATTTTCAGCTTTTGTACCTAACACATACCATGGAAGGTAATTTGCTTTGGAAACTATATTTTTTAAATGATTTCTCAACTCCTGAAAAAGTAAAGCTTCACAGTGTATTGAAAGGTCATGAGACAGCCCATTTGAGAACTGCCGTGATCAAATCTTCACTTGGAAAATATATTCAAGAATTTCCAAAATGGGTTTGAAGTGATGTATTGCTTACAGTTAATCCATAAGGTATTTTTCAGCATTTTGAAGCACCAGATTTTTATTATATAACATTATTCTGTCAAAAAGGGTGAGAGAGTAAGAAGAAAAAATCATCAAGAAAATAATGTGATCTTTTCTTGAAAAGATAGATGAGCATTTTGCCTTACCACCTTCAACTAATTGTAGTGGTATTTTTAGAATACTTGATACTTTTTCACCTTATCCTGGAACGTGGTAGTTGGAAACCCGTTTTACCAGGTCAGTTTTCCTTCTGCAGTAGGTGCGTTTGTACACTTGGATTACTCTGGGAGTTTCTTCGGTGGTGGCCTAGAGAAGAACCTCTGGTCTTAAGAATAATTGAAGGGAGGACGTTAGCTCCTATTCCCGAAGGAGATCTTTACTGAGTTCCCACTTTGTGTTCTCTCATGGCTGGGGGTGGGGGAGAGAAGGGTGGGGAATAGAGGGACAGTAAAGCATGACGATTGCCTTTGCCAGCGCCATTTTCAAGGTCAAAGTCTTGTCCCCTCTCTCTATAAAAGTACTGGAATCCAGTGAAATGGAATTATCATCTAGTTACAAAATAAATTCTGAATTTGACAATGAGTGTACTGGGTTGGCCAAAAGTGCCTTCAGTTTTTAAGTAAAAGTAAAAGACACATTTTTCATTTTCACCAAGATCTTTATTGAACAACGTATTGACCCTTCTGTTCCACTACCTTCTGCCATTTTTCAGGCAACTTCGTAATTCCATCTTCCCAAAACTTTTTATCTTTTTGAGCAAAGAACTGTTCCAGATGCCTTTTACAGTCTTCCAGGGAATTGATTTTTTCCATTAAGAGGATTTTGTAAAGACTGAAATAAATGGAAATCCGAAGGTTCAATGTCTGGTGAATACAGTGGATGAATCAGAACTTCCTAGCCAAGCTGTAACAGTTTTTGCCTGGTCATCAAAGAGACGTGGTCTTGTGTTATCCTGGTGGAAGATTATGCGTTTTCTGTTGACTAATTCTGGACGCTTTTCATTGAGTGCTGCTTTCAGTTGGTCTCATTCGGAGCCGTTGGAATTAACCTTTTGATTTTCCGGAAGGAGCTCATAATAGAGGACTCCCTTCCAATCCCACCATATACACAACATCACCTTCTTTGGATGAAGACCGGCCTTTGATGTGGTTGTTGGTGGTTCATTTCCCTTGCCCCACGCTCTCTTCCGTTCCACATTATTGTACAGTATCCACTTTTTATCGCCCATCACAATTTGTTTTAAAAACGGAACATTTTCATTACGTTTCATTAGGGAATGGCACACAGAAATATGGTCAAGAAGGTTTTCTTCCATTAACACGTGGAACCCAAGCATCAAAGCGATGAACATAACCAAGCTGGTGCAGATGATTTTCGACGCTTGATTTGGGTATTTTGAGTATGTCGGCTGTCTCCCGCTTGGTGTAATGTTGGTTGTTCTCCATTAATGTCTCGATTTGATTGCTGTCAACTTCAACTGGTCCACCCAACCGTGGAGCATCGTCCAGCGAGAAATCTCCAGCATGAAATTTCACAGACCACTTTTTTGACATGTTCAGTCAGTCACAGCACCTTCTCCATACACTGCACAAATCTTTTTTTGTGTTTCAGTTGCGTTTTCACCTTTCTTGAAATAATAAAGCATAATGTGCCGAAAGGATGCTTTTTTTCTTCCATCTTCAGTATTAAAATGGTTATGCAAAAGTTCACCGATTTTGATGTTTTTTTAAATGCACACTGATGTGACAGCTGTCACAGTACAATCTAACAAAATTGTTTTGAATGAAGTTAAAGACAACTAAGTGCTACTAGAGCCATCTTGGAGAAAAAACTGAACGAATCTTTTGGCCACCCCAATAGATAACTTACATAAGATTTCAGAGAAGTGCGTGAGCAAGCCAGTGCCCTTTCAGAGGACAGTGAGAACTGCTGATGTGGGGCCTCCTCTTGCTTGTGCCTCTGAGATGCTCTCATCCTCCTCTTTCCTTTTCGTCAATTAAAAAAAATTTATTGAGACCTGTTGAATGTCACATGCTGGAGATGGTGAACAGAAGAGAAACAACGTCTGTCTCAGAGAACTTCAGATGAACGAAGAATACCGATAACGAATCGCCTCTGTACTGGACATCACATGATCATGTCTGCCAGAGGGAAGCGTTGTAGGAGACTGGAGGATGAAGGGACACTTCCTGGAGGAGGCCATGTCAGGACGGGTGGGACCCGCTGGGAGCATGGGTGCTTCCAGCAGAGGAAGCAGCAGGAGCCGAGACCCCTGGAGGCTGGGGCAGAGACTGGAGCGCTGGCACCAGAGGAGTCGCGTGTGGCTAGATGCCTGGTCTCAGGTCAGGGAAGGCAGGGACAGGCAGAGGACCTGTGGTCTGGTTAAGGGGTTTAGACTCTGGCCTTGTATAATGTGTGTGAACTGTTCAAGCCTCCTAAGTAGGGCTAGGTGCTGATCACCTTTGCATCTGCTATCGTCACAGTTTGTAGAAGAGCAAGACCTGGGCAAGGCGACCCGTGAGGAGTGCTCATCCAGGCGCTGGAGGCCGGCGGGTCCCTGCTGGTGGTCAGTGCAGGGGTGGTGGGCAGCCCTTGTAGAGATTTGGAAGGAACACATGAGCGCCTGGTTTTTCTTGCCTCTGCGTTTTTTTCTTTCCTCCCCCCACCTGCCTTTTGCTTCTCTCCCATCTCTCTGTTCTGTCGTGTCTCTTGCTTCCAGCTGAAGCAAGACGTGTAGACTCTAGTTCTTCATTCCTTGCTCGCATGATGGGGCTTACCCCGCTCATCGACTTTTTAAAAAATCAATGTTACTGAGGTAGAATTTACATACAATACAAGGCAGACAGTTTAAGTTATAGTTCAATGAGTTTCGGAAAATAAATACTCTATGTAAGCACGACCACAGTCGATTGGCACGTAGACCCTTTCCTTCACTCCAGAAGGTCGCTTTGTGCCCCTGGCCTCCCACCCCTGGCCCAGGTAGCCACTGATCTGCTCTTTATCACGGTAGATTGTACCTGTCTCTGCTGGAGCTTCATATGAACGATATCATACCCTGTTTACTCTTTGATGTCTGGGTTCTTTCAGCATGTTTCTGAAATTCACCCCTGATTTCATGTGTACTATTAGACCATCCCTTTTTTATTGGCTGATAGTAGTTTGATTTATGGGTACACCAGTCTGTTCACATTCACCTGTGGATTTGTCCATTGACTTTTCAGATGTGTACTGTACTGAACAAGCATCTCTGTTTTTTCCTAGCTGGAACTTAGTATTAATGCTTTTTTATTTTTGCATTAAAATGCTTTGTTAAATGACTGATATTTATTGAATAGTCTTATGTTGCTCCTTCTGAATTTTAAAAGTGGCCAAATCAGTTTATCATCCTCTGGAAAGGAGAACAAGCACTTTTACAGGGAATTATGTTGACTTAGTAACACTCGACATATTAAGTGTCCCTATTCCTCTCTTACATTTTTATGTTCAGCTTTTACATGAATTTGGGCAAAAATGGTCTTTATGATACAGGTTATTATCTTAAGTGATTTTATGTGCTTTTTCTAATCTCTTGTTTTCTACATAGCTCTAGCAAGTAAATGTCCAGTGGGATAAACCAGCTTTGAAGCTGCGCTTTAAGGCACAGTTTGTCTTTTTTAATATTTTCTTCTATGTGTAATTTCAGTCAGTAGTTACTGAATGGCTAGTTTGCATACTTTTAGCAGAGCTAACAGTGTGCCAGGGGAAAACGCCCCTAAAGATTATGGGCTTGGGTTGTGAGTCAAGAATTGTGGCTGTAACTAACTCAGTAACAAGCAGATTCGAATGAGGACTTGTCATCTCACACTGTTATTTTGACATCATAATGACCTTTCTATAATCGCACCTTTTATTTTTAAAGATTCCTCGTAGGCACTGTTGGTATGGTAGGGCAATATAGAGATGTCAGTTTTATGGCTCCAAAGATCTACTACGTATTTTGTAAACGTATTTCAGTTATATTTTGGCAGTGAAGAGGGCAGGAAGATAACGCTTACTTTAAAGTGATGAACCACGCATGTAGGAATTGGGTAGGCAGATGTGTGAAAAGGCTTTTAGACGAAATTGTCTCCATGTATAAATTGCCTTTGCTGCATATGTAACTGTCTCATAGTGCTTTGGGGTAATTCAGCCAGGGCAGCCCTGGTGATGGTGTGTGTGTGCACGGAGCTTAAGGAAGTGTAGGAGTGGCTTCACGATAAGTCTTGTCTGCTGCTCAGCTGTTATGCTCCATTAATCCACTCTTTTTTCTCCCATCCTTCTTTCTGTTTTCTTAAACAGTTGATTAAAACTTGAGTTGACTTTTACTGTTTCAGCTCTGTGTTATTTTCCATTCTTGAAGCAGTTACGGTAAGAACGAGAACTCGCTCGTGCTCTCCGGCCACTTGGAACGGTGTGTCTTCGCTTCAGAGCATGAGCACCTTGGCAGTAGCGCTGATGGAAAGGGAACCACCAGTGACGCTTAGTTGTTCTTCACGTACTTTGCGGGGGGATGATCTTGTCTGAGTGCATTTTATATTTATGTCATAGTGAAATCCATTTTAAATCGTACACTCTTCTGTAGTAAGTACTTTTACTTATAGAAATTCCACATGGAAGCATTTAGAAAGCAAGACTTTTCTCTTGATGCATTATTTTCATTTAACATACCTCTGAGTGCTTCTGTATCTCTGAAATACACGAGTGTGTGTTTCTTTCCTGTGCCTATAATTCTGATTGTCTTCTTTTTGTTTTTTTCTCCTGACTTTCCATCTGCATTCCACAGATTTCCTCCTCTGATGCTCCTCTTCAGCCTTTGGTATCCTCTCCTTCTCTACAAGCTGCTGTTGAGAAGAACAAATTGGAGGTATGGTAGTAGTGTTTTAGCTATAGCCTCATTCCATAGCGCTCGGTGGTAAATGTGCCATCGTTTGGGATGCTGTAATAGTTGTTTATGTCTTGAACGGTCGCCAGTATTAAAAATGTCAAATACAACAAGAATACTTTTCTAGGCCACAGGTAGGATCACAGGGTTTTAATCTGCATTTAATTTCAGAATGACTAATTTATTGTTACCGTAGATATATCTCAGCATTTAATAAGTAATTAGTTTTTTGTTGTTTCCATTACCACCTTATGCTTAAAGGAGCTTTTCTGTAGTTGCTCTTGAATTCTTTGATTTATTTGGAAGGTTTTTGGTTAAAAATGTTTTCTTTCTGTTATTATAAGCACTTGAAGAAAGTTAATGTCAAGTTTCTTTTTTTAAACAATAGTATCCATCACATAGATGAAACGTAGGAGTGTAGAATCATCAGTGATGATTGTTGGAGTGTGTGTGTGGGATAGGGGTGGTTAGGGTGCACGGTACTACTATTATGGATTTGTAAAGTCATGCCTTCCAATATTTGAAGGTTTTTAATTTTTTTGACTGTGTATCTTTTTGTTGTTCTCATCCTGACCTTAGGGAATTAGTTTGAGACATCCTTTCATCTCACAGTGTTTCTGTGTCTCCTCCTTGATAAATGGTGTGCTTGACACGGGGGATACAAAGGTAAACAAGGTGTGTCTCCCTGCCCTGGAGTAGCTTCCATCTAACAGAGGAAAACGGAGAACTTTACAGAGGTTTCTAGCGCGGCAGAACGTGTGCTGCGATTGCCGTGCGCTCACGGTGCTGCTCTGAGCGCAGCAGGCGTCCTTCTGATGCGTCTTACACTCTTCATAAACATTAGCTGTGAGGACTAGGGCACAGTGCAAGCAGAGAAAGCATCTTGTGGAGAAAAGCCCGTGGGCAGGGCGGGATGACTGGGGATTTGCGGGGAGAAGGGCATGGCTGGGACACGCGTGGGCCGGGGAGAGAAGCGGAGAGGAGGCTTCCTGTGAGCCTGCTGGCGTGTTTGGCCTTCGTCCTGAAGGCCCTGGCACTTTGATGAGTTTCAGGGGCAGAAGGAGTATCCAGATCGGATTTTCAGGTCATAGCACTCTGCTTCACTGTCTCCGGAGAGCCAACTTCGTGCGGATGGGTGCGGAAAGGCTTGAGGACCTGTTGCGCTGGTCCATGAATAAATGGTGGGCGGGGTGCTAAAGGGGAGACAGAGGGAGTGAAAGGGCGAGCGCAGCTGTCAGAGGTCTCGAGAAGGTCGAGCCTGTGGGGTTTGTGATCAATGGGCTGGGGAGGCGCTTTGGGAGCCTGGATGGCTCCTGGCTTCGGGCCCGAGCACCTCAGTAGATGACAGCGCTGCCCGGTGAGAAGGGATCCGGGCTGAGCGGGTATGAGGAGAGAGCAGGGAGGGCGGGACTAAACGCTGGGTGTGTTGCGTGTGAGGTGACGGCGGGACGTCTGGGTATCTGGTCAGGGCTTGGATGCACAGGTCCATAGGCCAGAGGAGAGATCCGGGTCGGAGAAGGGGGGAGGGGGCGGCAGCCCGGGGAGAGCCATGAGAGTGGAAAGCTGGGTGCACTGAAGAGTTAGCAGAGCAAGGGGAGGTCCCCGGGACAGTGGCGGACAGTTTGGAGCAAGAAGGGCATGGTTGGAGGTGAACAGGCTTTAGAGGTCAGAGTGTTGTAGGGGTCAGAGGTCAGCAGGCAGGCCCAGGGAAGAAGCACCACGGGAGGGTGGAGGTGGCCACGAGGAGGTGGAAGGATGGCAGCGACACCTGGTCCAGAGGGTGGAAGCCCTCAGTTTCCGTGTCTGTGCTGTGTGGTGCCTGCCGCCAGGTCCTAGAAAGCAGGGGTCTGATCCAGCTGAGCACTAATCATCGTGCCTGATAGCATTTAGACACTGGGGAGCCCCACAGGAGAGTCCACTAGAATGTCTTTTCGTGCTTTCTTTTTCTTATCCTTTTAAAATTTCTATTTTTATGTATGTTTTGTAATGGATAATATAGTGCTATAAGTGCTTTATAAATACATACGTACATGTGGTAGAGTATATATGCTCCCAATTTTTTAAGATAAGAGTGCATAAAAAATTTTAGAGACCGTATCTTTAATTAAATCACTCAAGTGTAGTTTGATTATAATGAACCCAAGATGTACTTCTCTCCGTCTTGTAGGACGTGAACATTCATTCCAGTTTTCTTTTGCAGGAGGTCTCCTGTTTCACTATATCATTTGGATATATAGTAACCAAGTTTCAGGAACTACTGTTTTACAGTACCAAACACCACTGTGTTTTATTCTTGATGAGAAAATAGTTTAAAGCAACTTAGCTTCTCACAGTACTCTTTGGTCTTTCAGCAGCTATTTTTTTTTTTTTTTTTTTTTGCGGTACACGGGCCTCTCACCACTGTGGCCTCTCCCGTTGCGGAGCACAGGCTCCGGACGCGCAGGCTCAGCGGCCATGGCTCACGGGCCCAGCCGCTCCGCGGCATGTGGGATCTTCCCGGACCGGGGCACGAACCTGTGTCCCTTGCATCGGCAGGCGGACTCTCAACCACTGCGCCACCAGGGAAGCCCTAGAGCCCATGTTTTTAACGTTACTTCAAAGCCTGTGTTCTAAAACCGCTGCTGGCATCAGTAGATTACAGCCATATTTTGACAGCTGAAATTCCAGTGTTCAAGAGCATCTCCCTCTGTTAAACATAGCTAACTAATTTATTTTATTGTTGGTGATTTCAGATGTGCCCACCAATCATAGCGATTAGAAAGACTGGCTTCTCCCCCATCTCATGACGGTGACTTCCTTGAGAAATGACTGAGAGCTCTGAGCAGTTACAGAACCGTTCATCCCTAGCATAGTAGTGAGAATGATCCGCCACATTGCCTTCTTCCCTAAACTTGACTAATATCTGGAAAGCATTTTGCAATATATGAAGGATTTTTGCACATCTTGTTTATTCTTCACTTACACAGTGGCAGTGATACTGCTTACTTCATACGGTTGTTGTGAGGATTTAAATGAGTCATATGGTGTCTGGCACATGGGAAGGGCCCAGTAAGCGTTAGCTGTCCCCATGGGGAAGAAAAACTGCATAGACGGCAGCCCTCCGCTGGGCGGCAGGGAGCACCGACGCTTGACAGTCTGGGCCCCACAGCCCCTCGGCCCTACTACGATTAGCTCTGTGTGTTACTTTCCTGAGATTTTGTTTCTCCATTTGTAAAATGACAATAATGACTTTTTCCCCAGACATCACTGTAAAAATTAAGTTAGACAATAAGGTGCTTATCACAGTGCCTGGCCCATAGGACCTTTAATAATGTCTCTTACATTACGGCCTAGGAGTTGCCGGGATTGGCTTTCTTGATTTACAAATAGCAAAGATTCTACTCTTGAGAGAGGTGGTGTCAGACGCCCTTTCAAAGGCACAGGTGCAAATGCGACCTCTAGGCATTTTGACTAAGTTTCATGTGTTTATTATTCTGCCTTTTCTAGGTTCACCAGTTTATCTCTCATGTTTGCTGCCAGGAAACTAGGTCAGCACTCAGCTGCAGTATCACCCAGTTCGAGGTTTCTAGGCATCTTTTCCCTCTACATGCCTTATGAATGCTCTTTGTTTAATCTTTACTTCATTTTCCTTTTTTGGGCATCTTTATGGACCTTAAGTTTTTATTATTATATCCTATTTCAACCTTCTTGGAAATTGTGAACATTATAATACCATTATAGTTTATCTAGACTGGGTTGGATTAAATATGCCAACTAGTTAGCTGGCTCTGGTCCCCAAGCACTATCTCCAACATTCTTTTCATGAGAAAATTATTGTATTTGCACTTTTAAAAATCACAACTCTGTGGTAACAGACTGAAAATGTTTTGTGTTATTTTAAAAAATTAAAGTGTTTTTACCCTTTTCTCCTCATGTTTACATGTTGTAATTGGTCTTCATCTGTGTGACAAAGAATTCTGTTCCATCAGTTAGTTTGCTTTTTCTTTGTATTCAAATTTCAGCTTTATGGTTGCTGTTAGAAAGCCTGACCTTATGTAAAGATGCAGTGAGAATTTATTGAATAGAGGTCTCATTTCTTTAAAACAAACTCTGAAATATCAAAGAAGTTCTAAATTGTCTCACTTCTGTATTTCTTTTTTAGAAAAGTTATTCTTTATTGTGTTATCAACATACTCAATGAGAGTATGAATTTGCTGTGCTTACTTTTACATCTCAGTATCACTGGATGTTGTCATCATTGAATATTTATTTGTACCCTTTTCAAATGATGACTCAAACTAATAAAATAAAAATATGTTAAGAGCTAACATATTTTAAAAAGTAAACTTATCAAAACTTTCGGCTATGTTTTAGAAAGAAAAAGAAAAAAAAAAGGAAGAGAAAAAGAGAGAAAAGGAGCCAGAAAAGCCTGCAAAACCTCTTACAACTGAAAAGGTAAAATTTCTTCTTCTTTTTTTTAATCTACAAAGATTACGACCTTATTTGTATAGTTATATATGAATGACTTTTGGGATATTCATGATATGCAAATAATCATTCTTTCAACAAGTATTTGTGGCATGAATACTGTGTGCTAAGCATGTCCGTCTGGCTTGTCCTGTATGATTTGTAATCGGCTACATATGTGTGGGTATAGATTCATGTGAGTTCCTCAAGGGCAAGTATTATTCCTGACATAAAGAAGTGGTGGTTTTAGCTTCATGCACGATCAGACTTCAGCGAAAGTTGAGAGGATGCGGACCTGCAGGGACCTTCAGAAAAGACTCCATGCTGAAGGTAGCACTTGAGCTGGGTTTTGAAGTGTAGGTAGGAAGGATTAAAGTGTGAGGTAGGAGTGTATCCTGTGGAGAGAACGTTGAGGACATGGAAACTGGAAATAGACAAAGTATGTTTTAGAAAAATAAATGAGTAGTGGAGTTTGAAGAAAGATCTATGTCTGTGTATAGAAAGTAGTGAAAAATAAGACCAGAATGGTAGATTGAGCTCAAATTGTAGGGGACCTTAAGGTCCAGATTGATTCTTTTTTGAAGGAAAGGCTGTGGGCAGCATTTAATTCAGAAGGGTTCTACTGGAAGATTATTTTGCAGTGATAAGCAGGATAGAAGTGATCAGGCCTACTAGAGGTAGAGAGACCATTAGATTTCTGTCAAGCGCTTGGTTAAATAATCATGGTGGCTTGGCTTGAACGCATTTCCTCGTACAAGAATGGAAGCACAGTAAGGGACTTGTCAGTAAAGGGAGCATCCTTGATTTTAACTGTTGAAATTTTAATAATCAACTTTATGGAGGCATCAGTTACATACTACAAAGTGCATCCATTTAAAGTGTGCGAGCCAGTATTTACTGGTTCTTTTCCCATCATGTTGATTAGAACAGTCTCTACCTTCAGAGAGTTATAAACATGCCTTCTGCATTTACGATGTGCTGAGTATCCCAAGGCTCCTTAGTCCTTTATGTAGCAACCAAACACGTCCACCATCTGCCCCTTGACCCCCCTCCTAGCAGTCGCCCCCTGTCCTTCATACCGGGCAGACTTGCGTCTTGCCCCCTGAGCACACTCGCCATCCCTCTGGGCACTGAGCTGCCTGGCCAAGGATGTCCTTTGCTCTCCGCACCTCTTATCTAGGCTTACTCGTTCCTCCTCGTCCATCCAGCCCCTCTAACACCCCAACCTCATAGGCTTTCTCCCTTCCTCAAAGTTATGGTGACATTGTCCTACATTTGACTTTATTACTTCCTGCCTCATATTATTGTTTAATTGTATTGTTAGATAAATTTCTTTGTCTAACACAGATGCATCCATGTTTATGTTCTGTTTCCTGAGATTAGGTATCAATCAGGTGGGGACTAATAAGTCTTAGGTTTCTTTGTATTTCTGACAGTTTCTTGTGTGTATCAGATGTTTAGGATAAATACATGTACATTGATTTGTTGATGTTTTCCATCTCATAATTCCTGTTAATGTTTTGATCCCAAGGTCATGCAGAACAATAAACTGCAATTTATTTCTGAATAATTTGTTAAATACTGAAGACTTGCTAAGTGGAATTCTTTGAGATATTTTTTGAAGTACTTTTCAGTTAAAGTTAGTTTTTTTGACTATCACTAATTGTTTTAACGATTGTTTACTGAATTAGATTCTTACCTTTCACCAAATTAAATTTAGATGTTAAGTATTATAAAACTTTTTAAAAGGAGTGATTAAGTTGGTAATTATAGCCTGATTACTTAAATAGCTTTAATTCTGCTCTGGAAACTTTCTCTTCAGCATGCATCAGTAAGAAGCTGTAAGTGAAATCTCTTACAATTTCCTATTGGATTACAAAGGAACTTAAAAATCACTAGTAGGTTTTATCTTTTATTTCCAAAAGTTGGAAGTATCAGAGTTTATATAATGCCTTATTGTTGTACTTGGCAAGATGTAAAATTTAACCCCTTTTAAAACATCATATATTTATTTTTTCTCTTAAAAAATATTTACCATCCAAATATAGTGAGCATTTGATGTAGTGACCATGTGTGTTTCATGGTCTTGCATGTAAACACTTGCTTTCTGTTGCCTGCTGTGGAGAGGGGCCGCCGGGGTTACCTGGGAACAGTCTCTGGATTGGGAGCTTGAGGAGAGCAGTTCAGGGCGTGTGAACAGCGAGGAATCCAGCACTTTTTTCCGTTACCATTTCCCTTTGGTACTTAGGTTTTGTGTGTTTCGTTTTGTTTTAAATAAATTTATTTGGTTGCACCGGGTCTTAGTTGTGGCAGGTGGGCTCCTTAGTTGCAGCACACGGACTCAGTTGCTCCGCTGCATGTGGGATCTTCCTAGACCAGGGATTGAACTCATGGTCCCTGCATTGGCAGGTGGATTCTTTATCCACTGCGCCACCACGGAAGTCCGGTACTTAGGCTTTAAATAAACCCAGTTCACACTTCATCTGTTATTCTTGCTCGCCCTGCAGAGGTCAGGACTCCTGTTGCCAATGGTGGGAACCTTGCGGAAGGAATAACCACCCAGAGGGAAAAGCTTTAGTTCCTGTCAGAATTTCGTGGTCAGGATATTGTAGGTTATGTAAGGAGGAGGATAAATTTACAAGCGTAACAGTGGGGAGACTGAAAGAACCATAGAACAAGCAAGCTTTACTTCATCCACATTAGGCGCTTTCCTTTGTGTTCTCCCTGACCTGATGTTCTCAGGGGGCATGTATAATCTAGAGGAGAAATTAGCAGTAACAGCAGTGAAAATCTTAGCAATAGTAGTCAGAATATCATTCTCGTAAGTAGGTAAGAGTTGGCTTTATTGGCTGTCTGGTACCTGCCAGGAGCTGGGCTGGTGTACAGATTGCATGCACACTTGTGCATGTACACTTACATGTGAAGTGACAGCCATGTATTCACCACCTAGTCAGGAAACAGAACATGGCTGCTGCCCAGAAGCTGCCCTCCCCAGCTCTTCCCAATTAAATCACTTCTCTTGTCCCAGAGATAATCATTTCCTTGTATTTTAGAAATAGATTTACCTTCTCTGTGTTTCTAAATAATAGAAATATTACTTAGAAAATACTGTTTTTCTCTGTTTTTTGAACATACAAATGAAATGATGCCACAAATATTCTTTTGTGTTTTGCTTTTTTCAGTCAACATTGTTTTTGTAAGGGTTAATCATGTTCTGTATAGATACAGTTTACTCAGTTAATTGTTGTGTAGTATTCCATTATTTATATGTTCCTTACTTTATGCATCCCATCGTTGATAAACACTTGGATTATATCCAGGCTTTAGCTGTTATAAATAGTGCTGCTTTGAACACTTTTGTACATGCACCTAAGTATGTATTTCTTTAGGATGTACTTAGGAGTGGACTTGTTAGGTCACAAAGTATCTGTATCTTGAACTTTACTACATAACGTCAAACTATTTTCCAATGTGTATACCAAATGTATGCTGGTCACACTACATTCTTTACAGCATTTGGTATTGTCAGAGGTATTATTATTTGCAGTCTGATGGGTATATAAGGATATCTCATTGTATTTTACATGTCCATTTCTTATATTACTAATGAGGCCCAGTGCCCGTGTCATATGTTTATTGCCCATTTGGAATCCCCCTTTTGGAGTTCTGACTCAGATCTCTTGCCTGTTGTTAAATTGGATGGCTTACCTTTCCCTTATTGAGTTGTAACAATCTACACACACACTTACACGCATATATAGAGGAAACTAGTCCTTTTCCAGTTACGGGTTTGCAAATATCTTATCTCTGTGGTTAATTTTATTGCTCTTTTTATTTCTGGTTTGTGAATCAGTGATCGAGGGCATCCTTGTCTTATTCCTGACGTCAGAGGGAAAGCTGTATGTGTTATCTTCATTCCTTACAAAAACTACAGTTATTGTTTAGTTAGAGAATTTATGGAGTCTGGTTTGGAAAAATAGATTTTATTTCTTTTTTAAAGGCTAAACTCCATCTCGTGTCTCTTTATGTGTTTAAAAGAATGATGCTTGATAGGTGTTATTTTTTCCCAGGACACTTGTTCTGAGTCCACTTGCAATTAAAGCCATTAGTATGGTTCTTGACACACAGCAGTGAGTTAATAAATGATTACAAGTATGTTAATTGGGGGGTTGGGAGGAACCTTACATCTCTTATTTTATAAAAAAGTTAACTAAACCCTAGAAGGACTCTGAGTCACTGAAAAGTGACTTGCTCAGTGCTAACAGTTGGTGACAACTCAGGGGTTTGAACCCATGTCTTCTTCTGATTTAAGTCCCGCGTTGTGTGTATGTGTGTTTTGATTTGACATGTATGTCTTCAGTTTCCTTTCTTGATGCAATTTTTAGTCCTTTTGTACATTCTACATCATTTTATAATGAACAGTCCAGAGCTCTCTAAAAAAGAGCAGTGTGTTTATATACAACGTCATCCCATACTGTCCTAACTAGTGAATTCATAATTTTTACTGATTTGTTAAGCGTCCGGTAGGGACTTCTTCATTCTGTAAATACACTTGTTTTCCCTGAGCAGTCTACCACTTTGCTTAAATTATATTTTGTACCTAGGTCTCCCTAAGGTTTACGTTTTGTGTTGTGTGAGCATCTGTTGCCAGTGGGGTTAGCTGGAACCAGGCTTACTTTATTTTCTGAGAGGAGAAAGGTAAAACCTAAAAATTTAATGAATCAAGTGATTAATAGGGCAGATGCTTTTGACACTTAAATAGATGTCTCTCTGCTGTGCTTTAGATATTCTGCTGGAAAATTGTGTATAAATTTGACTTTTTCTAAAATACTCTGTCACACGTTTGACATTTCTAATTCACTTAGTTTAGATTTATCTACTAGGCTATCTCCCAAGTAGCCAGTGATCTATAAATATGTTTATGTAGATGAGAAGTACTCTACTAAAGGAATGTACATGAGTTCTCTTTCAGTTTATATGAGCAGATC